CCCCAAAACCCCAAAACCCCAAAACCCCTGCTTTATAGCAAGACAAGCAGTGTTTAATTTTTTATTTACATTATTGGAGCATCATTATATTTAAATCAGATGAGATTGCTAGCTTTTACTTTCACTCTAAGAGGTATTTCCATCCAGAGAATATTTATCACAAAAGCTAGGCATTAAAATTTCACTCATTCTTGTAGAGTTAGTTGGACCAGTGCTCTAACTTTTCCAATAAATCAACAGTGAATACTGCATGAAGTAAGTACATACTATATCTTAATCTCCATCCAACGAAAAATCCTTTTATTCCAGCTTCTTTATATATATACTTGATGGCATCACTCCAGTTAGCGATCGGGTCAATTTTTTAGAAAAATGATTTTACGGCGTCAAAGGGCATTACGCACATAGTATTTATTAAGGCAACAGCGAATGAACCAACAAGCAAATATCTTGTAGGAATGACCTCATCTATTTTAATTGAATATTGGTTTTTAATTAGTTGCTTTATCATCAGATCAGCTTCTAGAAAACTTATCCAAGCAATTGCTTACCTAGCTGTCAGTGGTGTCAGTCCTTTGAATAATTCACCCCTTAACTAATTTTTATAAAGTTTAAGGTAGCCTAAATAGCCAAGTCTCGAGCTGCTTGACTAAGTCATAAATAATACCTTAAATCTTTCAAAAGGGCAAAGTATTAGTGACTCTACCAAAGCAATTGAGGTGCCAGTAAGAAATTTAGCGAACCATTTATCCTTTAGCATTGGCATATTCTACTGGAAAAATCCAGGGAGTGTTATCATCAGTGGGTATCTGTAAACATTTTTCAAAAGCATTCTGTAGAAGTTCGGAGTTGAACCAGAATAGAATCCTAGCATGCCCTTATCTTAATATATATGCCTAATCACTTGGAATTCATTTTTCAACATTGGTTTTGTTTGCCAATTAGTTTTTATAGCTTCTAGAGGTTACTCGATCGGGAATCCTATTGAATTTTTTCAAGAATACAAAATTATAGTGTATACCTATAGTTCCTCGTGCAATTCCAATAAATGACGAATAGCCAATTATATAAAGCTTCTGATTAGAACTCTATCCTGTTTCACTTTACGTTTTCATTAATACAGTAATACTAATTATCTTAATAATAATTATGTCAATCATTAAATTTGTTAATTTTCATTTTAGAAAAATAGAAGTTTTGACTTGTACGGGGTTTTGGGGTTTTGGGGTTTTGGGG